AGTATAAGGCTGTTGATACAGAGCAAAACATACAGAATAATAGTATGTGAGTTTTATAGAATAAGGCTGTTGATACAGAGCAAAAGATACAGAATAATAGTATGTGAGTTTTATAGTATAAGGCTGTTGATACAGAGCAAAACATACAGAATAATAGTATGTGAGTTTTATAGTATAAGGACTTGTTGATACAGAGCAAAACATACAGAATAATAGTATGTGAGTTTTATAGTATAAGGCTGTTGATACAGAGCAAAACATACAGAATAATAATATGTATGTGAGTTTTATAGTATAAGGCTGTTGATACAGAGCAAAACATACAGAATAATAGTATGTGAGTTTTATAGTATAAGGACTTGTTGATACAGAGCAAAACATACAGAATAATAGTATGTGAGTTTTATAGTATAAGGACTTGTTGATACAGAGCAAAACATACAGAATAATAGTATGTGAGTTTTATAGTATAAGGCTGTTGATACAGAGCAAAACATACAGAATAATAGTATGTGAGTTTTATAGTATAAGGCTGTTGATACAGAGCAAAACATACAGAATAATAGTATGTGAGTTTTATAGTATAAGGACTTGTTGATACAGAGCAAAACATACAGAATAATAGTATGTGAGTTTTATAGTATAAGGCTGTTGATACAGAGCAAAACATACAGAATAATAGTATGTGAGTTTTATAGTATAAGGCTGTTGATACAGAGCAAAACATACAGAATAATAGTATGTGAGTTTTATAGTATAAGGACTTGTTGATACAGAGCAAAACATACAGAATAATAGTATGTGAGTTTTATAGTATAAGGCTGTTGATACAGAGCAAAACATACAGAATAATAGTATGTGAGTTTTATAGTATAAGGCTGTTGATACAGAGCAAAACATACAGAATAATAGTATGTGAGTTTTATAGTATAAGGACTTGTTGATACAGAGCAAAACATACAGAATAATAGTATGTGAGTTTTATAGTATAAGGACTTGTTGATACAGAGCAAAACATACAGAATAATAGTATGTGAGTTTTATAGTATAAGGACTTGTTGATACAGAGCAAAACATACAGAATAATAGTATGTGAGTTTTATAGTATAAGGACTTGTTGATACAGAGCAAAACATACAGAATAATAGTATGTGAGTTTTATAGTATAAGGACTTGTTGATACAGAGCAAAAACATACAGAATAATAGTATGTGAGTTTTATAGTATAAGGACTTGTTGATACAGAGCAAAACATACAGAATAATAGTATGTGAGTTTTATAGTATAAGGACTTGTTGATACAGAGCAAAACATACAGAATAATAGTATGTGAGTTTTATAGTATAAGGCTGTTGATACAGAGCAAAACATACAGAATAATAGTATGTGAGTTTTATAGTATAAGGCTGTTGATACAGAGCAAAACATACAGAATAATAGTATGTGAGTTTTATAGTATAAGGCTGTTGATACAGAGCAAAACATACAGAATAATAGTATGTGAGTTTTATAGTATAAGGACTTGTTGATACAGAGCAAAACATACAGAATAATAGTATGTGAGTTTTATAGTATAAGGACTTGTTGATACAGAGCAAAACATACAGAATAATAGTATGTGAGTTTTATAGTATAAGGCTGTTGATACAGAGCAAAACATACAGAATAATAGTATGTGAGTTTTATAGTATAAGGCTGTTGATACAGAGCAAAACATACAGAATAATAGTATGTGAGTTTTATAGTATAAGGACTTGTTGCATGTTGATGTGGGAAATGTATTTCTGTCGGTTATGGCCCGGGAAAGCGAAATCTGGACTAAACCTCCTCAATTTAGGTGTCGCTTTCTCGGGAACGGTCAAGCTACAGTGAACACTGAATTTAGCGGTCCCTGGACTCTCAATACACAAGAAAAACAAAGAAGTGTGAGTCGTCGTCTGATACCGTAGTTATGGTAGAAATTTGATAAATATACAACGATAAATGATCGACACCCAGAGATATACTTAAAGACGATAGTTAACAGAAACGCAAGACGAAATCTCATCAAACTTAAAGCTGCGGTAACCTTGCTCTCCATGTCGAAACAGGACGATGCAGCAAGCCCCCACCCCACTCAATCAGAGAACATGCCCACTTTGCAGTAGTGTAGAGGATGAAATCCGCTTCCTTCTAAATTGCCATTTTTACAATGACTTAAGAATGAAGTTTTTAACCTTATTAGATGTTTCCGATTTTATATCTTGTTTACATACATATGGCACTTTAATAAACTATGTCTGTCTGTCTTAAACATGTCGTAGATCAAGTGCTGAAACTTGAAACAACTGAAACAACTGAAACTTCTTCATCAGTTAAGAGGCTCACAGATCGAGTATTGGGGTCGCGCGCTAATCTGAAGTACGGTAATCCGATGTTTTCATAGAATTCGCTTTCGCAGCACTTCTACCACAACTTTGGTTTTCGCTTTACCGGGAATAAGGAATACTGAAATTTGCTTTCCCGGGCTGACACCTTTCTGTCAACTTCAGTAATATGAGAAGTTTTTAGGAATATACTTTTACTCTGTCGTGTGTGTTGTATGGTGTATGGTGTCCATCTGAAATAATATCAAGACTGCATCAATGCATTTTCATTCCTTTGTCATTGTTTAGTCAAGTCCTTGAAGGAAACAGATGAGTAGGTAGTCATTTATGGTTAACTTTTTTTACTATAATAGCAGCATGTTTTATAGCTCATTATACCATTGTCATGAAAGACTCTCTGAAAAACATGGTGCAAAATATATGTAGTCAGTGGGGGATTAACAGTCATTGAACAACAGTTTGTATATTTGAAAGAGGCTAACATGACTTATCCATAAACTGCATCTACTTTATCATTAGTAGATTATCAATCTACCACACCACCATATAGCTGGAATATTGGTGAGTGTTGCCTTAAACAACAAACAGATACTCTTCCAGACATTCACGAGGGCTGCAATAAATCCACTATGTGGCAAACATCATCAGGTACATATTACAAACTTTTGGTAATAAATATAAATATTGGGAAAAAATACAATAACATGGCAGCAGTTGATATACTATTCACTGTACTTAGTGTTTATTATAGTGAAGCCATGACACCATGATTATTGACAGTGTTAATTTATCCCGACAATGACCTGTCACCACATTGCTGTCAAATTGAGTATATAACAGTGCTGGCTGTAAGCCTGCCTAGCATAGATGCAGGGATAAGGAAAGGCAGGGACCATTTTGCACATTAGAATAAAAAATGGCCCATTTAAATTTTGAAGTTGACTATTGATACAAGGACAGTGGCCCATTCTAAATTTAAAAAAATGGCTAATAATCCTGAAAATGGCCCATTGTCAAAGTTCTCTATCCCAATCCCTGTAGATGTATTCCATTTTCCGTACTTCGTTTCAGTAAATAATACACAAACCCAAGCCAAAAAAACTAGTATTTAAGAAATTAATAAAAAAAATTATTCTAGTGGTTGTGAATTACGAATTGAATTCATGAAGGAATACAGTAAAGTCAGTGTATACACGAGTGAATCATAACAGCCCTAATTCCCACTATACATTGTTTTTCCCTCAGTCAGAATATTGTCTGACGTAAGTGCCAGACACAAAAAGGCCATCATGCAGAAACATGATCGACTGTAAACAAACCTTGACCAGGCTTTGTACTCAAACCACTGTGAAACACTTTGTCTAACTACATAACATTATATATTTTTTTGTTTCTGTATGAAGAGCATATTTCCAGTTTATGTACCTGACTGAAATGTCCATGGAAATGATCAGGTACACTGCATCACATACACATAAGGCTCAGATCATCTCGTCACTTTGTAATTAAATTGGTTACAAGATTACAGAAGTAAACGCAACACAGCTCATTAAGTGTCATGTTTTTTAATGCAATTGTTTTAACCATGCTGGGGTTTGAAGTAGCATGACCGAATAGCTATTTGGATAACTTCTATCAAAATTAATTTTCTCTTTTTTTCCAAAAAAGGAAAATGACAATAGATCTATAATTGGCTTTACAAAAATATCCTTGTTCACATGATTAAAGACATGCCCTTTATGATTTGAACGGGAACATAGGACCAGTGATAGGCATGATATAGTGTCCAGTTATATATGGGCGTGGCCTGGTATGTGTGGAGGCCTGTGATAGATATATCATTATGGGTGATTGAGTGAGTATGTTTTTACGCTGCTTTTAGCAATATTCCAGCAATATCACGGCGGGGGATACCAGAAATGAGCTTCACACATTGTACCCATGTGGGGAATCAAACCCGGGTCTTCAGCTTGACGACCGAATGCTTTAACCACTAGGCTACCCCAGATATGTCATATAATTCAGACACAAACAGTTTCATATAAATTGAAGAGGAGTGCCAGCAGGATGGGAGATTAAAAACCGGCTAGAATGCATTATACCGGATACCTGGCAGGGTTAGGGTTAGGTTAGGGATTAGGGTTAGGGTTTGGGCTATTTTCATCTCAGTTTTATATTTTTTCACCTTTCCGCGCTCACATCACGTAACCTAATTAAAAATGGCAGGCAGGTATCCGGTATAATGCATGTGTACCTAAAAACCTTTTGAAAATCTGGAAAAAGCATGTGATCAGCTCGCAAAGATTCCTTTGACAACCACTTATTTTCTCTGATATGTCTTGATGTCAGTTACCACTTTAGTTTTTCACACTCACTTTTTAAACATTTTACCTACAGCCACTCTAAACAGATTCTACAATTGTGTTTCACAGCATACATGTTCTGTATTACAGGTTACGAGTATGGACAACATGATCTGTACTCAGACACTGGTCAGACACCAGGGTGGTGTGGTATAGTTGAGTTACTTCATTTGTTCTGTGTTACAGGTATGGAGTATGGACAACATGATCTGTACTCAGACACCAGGGCAGTGTGGTATAGTTGAGTTACTCCATGTGTTCTGTGTTACAGGTATGGAGTATGGACAACATGATCTGTACTCAGACACTGGTCAGACACCAGGGCAGTGTGGCCTGTCTAGCTATCTCAAAGGGAAGGGTGTTCTCAGGGGCTGTTGACAGTCAAGTGAAGGTGAGCTACAAGAAATATCTGTCAGTGATGCAGGGTTTTCTTTCCCCCCTTAATCACATGAATCAATCATGTAAAAAGGTGTGCTTGATGCCAGTGGCTGTTCCACATTATACTGTTCTGTTCACTGAAGTCTCTGATTTGTATGTAGCTTTGAGCCAGAGCATCAATTGGTGCTACAAACTTTGAGTCGACTGGCCTAAACATATACTTCAACACCATTATAGTATGAAATTCTTCAAAGGCATTTAGAAGTTGGTGTAGTAATACAAAACAAATCTTATGGATAACAACTTATATATTTGTTTATCATGACGTTTCTGGGCTAGTTCTTGCCACTTCTTCAGGTGGATGAATAGCCTGAACCCGTCCACCTCAAGAAGGGGCGAGAACTAGCCCAGAAACCTTGTGGGAACAAATAACGAAGTTGTTATCCATAAGACTTGTCTTGTGTTACCCTTTTAGTAGTCCTTACAAATAGTCTGTTGTAAGTTAAACTTACCAGGTTTTGGCTTCAGACTCCAGACAGAAGGTGCATAGGTTTTTTGTTTTATTGCGAAGTGTTCGATGTGATAATGTTTCTAATTCAGCTAAATGGAAAAACTTCTGTTTCAAATTCTGTTAAAACTCTATGGTATTTTGTGGGTCAACTGAGCCTTATTACAGCCAGGACATGAAGGAGTAATGTTTCTGGTGAACAAGCAGACTCTGGTCCGTCAGGATTCCTGCATGGAACAGGTCCCTACAACCTACGATGGTTTTGGGCAAGGATTTAATGGATGGGGTGGTCAGTAGGCGACAGATTGCACACTCGCCATCAGCAGTCTTGCTGCTATTTTCAGTCAGCTAGTAGTAACACTCTGAGACTTGATTGATACAATAATACTAAAAGCAGCTTTTAATCCTAATTTCTCTCCTGTATATGTCTAAATGGGGGGACTGATAGTTCACTGATCCATGTCACCAGTAATATATCGTGGGCACAGATGCCCTTTTCTGTGTAAACGCAAACTAGGATATTACTATGACAGCAATGAATGATGGCCTCATCAGAATCTGATCTGTTAATGACTTCACAATATTATTGTAATAATAAAATGAACTTTAATAGTAGGTGCACTAACAAGTAACTTGATGTCCTGAAGGGTATCAGCTGTTAAGTGTTCTATTGTTGCATATATGCTGAACACAAAAGGTTAGGGGTCATTACTATTTTGGGGGCCATTTGTATGCTGTTAAGGCCACATAATAAGGATTACCACCCAGCTCATGCTACATTGTGTCCAGCAGGGTATCAGTTACTACTACTTATAGCTAAAACACATGGAATTATCATGAAACAGCCCTCCTATTATCAGAAATTTGCGGGCCGCTGCAAATGATATTGGACCGCTCAACCTTAACGATGGGCCACTATTAGTTCTGTTGTCAAGTGACGTCATAGTGGGTGCGTCGGTTCATTCGACATTGGCTTTGGACTGGCAGATATTCTGGGTCAAACAAGTCAAAGCAACCCGAATTCCCGCTTTAAATAGCTGTAATATTGGCTTTCTTGCTGGTGCTAACCTTAACAAATGCACTATTAACGTTGTTGTTGGACCAAAACCTAACACTGACATAGTTTGACATGTTTCAGACTATGGTCTTGTTAAAGGCCAAGGTCGAATATCGTCACTTTCTGTTGTGACGTCACTTGAATTGTTCGATGACGTAAGTTGGTTTTGAGTAATCTTACAGTCAAATTCCTTAAATGTTTCCTTTTTCTTTTCAACACAAATTCCATGTATTTTAGCAATAATAACAGTAATGCTATTTTTGAGGGCATTATCATTTGCAGAAGCCCTCAGTCTTTTTGAACTGCCCTCTTTTGTCGGGCAGTGAATGGAAGACCCCGGGCTTCTGCAAATGATAATGCCCTCAAAAATAGCATTACCCTTATATTACTACTAGCTAATGTTACACTGTGTGGAGCAGGGTATCGGTAGATTTACTTCCAGCTAATGCTGCATTGTGTTGAGCTGGGTATTGAAGTAGGATTGGACCTCAGCAAACTTGACTAACACAACAGATCGCACGTATATGCTCAGTGACTTGTTTAATACTATCAATCACAGGTTTGTCTGGTCAAGATTTAGCCATTTGGTCCTATGGATGTCATCATGTATTGCTGACCAAGGCATTACAAACATCTGCAAAAATAGGATAATTGTAATATGAGCATTGAGTGTAGCTTCTCTGGCTCTGTTGCTGTTGGCCATCAGTGAACTTGTATGAATGTATTGATATTTTGTCTAACAACAATACAGAGTTTAGTAGATGGATTACAGTGAAAACAGTGGTAAGTTGGAGAGGGTGGATACTGCGAGAGTAGTTGTTTTCCATCATTGAAGCCACAACATACATGTCTTGTCACATCCTTCGCCAATGGCTGCTCAAGCCTTGTCAGGGAGACTGACAGATTGATGACACACAATCAGCTCATCCTGTTCAGCCTGTTGACAGATATGATAGTAATGCCATTGATGTTTCCATCTGCAGATTAAGGGTTTGACAGGGTCCAAATGGTTACATGGTTACACTAGACCGGGCCATGCTGGTTACACTGACCCAGGCTCCAAATGGTTACATTTGTCAAGGCCATGCTGGTTACACTGACCCAGGCTCCAAATGGTTACATTTGTCAAGGCCATGCTGGTTACACTGACCCAGGCTCCAAATGGTTACATGGTTACACTAGACCAGGCCATTCTGGTTACACTGATCCAGGCTCCAAATGGTTACATTTGTCAAAGCCATGCTGGTTACACTGACCCAGGCTCCAAATGGTTACATTTGTCAAGGCCATTCTGGTTACACTGACCCAGGCTCCAAATGGTTACATGGTTACACTTGACCAGGTCATGCTTGTAACACTGACCCAGGCTCCAAATGGTTACATGGTTACACTTGACCAGGTCATGCTTGTAACACTGACCCAGGCTCCAAATGGTTACACTTGACCTGGCCATGCTGGTAACACTCACTCTGGATCCAAATGGTTACATGGTTACACTGGACCAGGTCATGCTGGTTACACTGACCCAGGCTCCAAATGGTTACACATGACCTGGCCATGCTGGTTACACTGGTCAAGTGTCCAAATGGTTACATGGTTACACTGGACCATGTCATGCTGGTTACACTGACCCAGGCTCCAAATGGTTACATGGTTACACCGGACCAGGCCATGCTGGTTACACTGACCCAGGCTCCAAATGGTTACATGGTTACACTGGACAAGGCCATGCTGGTTACACTGACCCTGGCTTCAAATGGTTACATGGTTACAAAGGACCAGGCCATGCTGGTTACACTGGTCAAGTGTCCAAATGGTTACAAAGGACCAGGTCATGCTGGTTACACTGACCCTGGCTCCAAATGGTTACATGGTTACACTGGACAAGGCCATGCTGGTTACACTGACACTGGCTTCAGATGGTTACTTGGTTACAAAGGACCAGGCCATGCTGGTTACACTGGTCAAGTGTCCAAATGGTTACAAAGGACCAGGTCATGCTGGTTACACTGACCCTGGCTCCAAATGGTTACATGGTTACACTTGACAAGGCCATGCTGGTTACACTGACCCTGGGTCCAAATTGTTACATGGTTCCACTTGACAAGGCCATGCTGGTTACACTGACCCAGGCTCCAAATTGTTACATGGTTCCACTGGACCAGGACACGTTGGTTACACTGTTACACTGACTGCCTCCGTGTCGTGGTTAGAGCATCCGCCCGGAGAGCAGAAGGTTGCAGGTTCGATCCCCGACCGCGTCATACCAAAAGACGTTAAAATATGGTACTTGTTGGTCCCTGCATGGCGCCCGGCATTAATGGGTACAACAAGGACTGGTCGGCCCGGAGTCAGTATAATGTGTCTGAGTGGGGTATTCATGCTTCACTGCGGCATGGTATCTCAGTGGGCTAGCTCTATAAAACCAGCTTCAGTCTGGGCTAGTACAAGCAGCCGCACATACACATACACACGCATGCATGTCGTCATATGAGCGAAATATTCTCAAGCACGACGTTAAACCCAATTTCACCTCGCCTCACCTCACCTGTTACACTGGTCAAAGTTACAAATGGTTACATGGTTATACTGGCCCAGGCCACACTGATTACATTGGTATTGGGTCCAAATGGCTACATGGTTACACCTGACCAGACCACTTTGGTTACACTGGTCAAGGGTCCAAATGGTTACATAGTTATACTGGCACAGACCATGCTGGTTACACTTGTTGCACTGGGTGCCGTTCCACTAACCGATCTTATCTAAGATCAATCTTAGCAAGTTACGCCAATTTTACAATCGTCTTAGCTAAAAGTTACACCCGTTCCACTACCCGATCTTAGGCCGATCGTAGCCGGTCCCGATCTTACGATCCGATCCAAGCTTAGATCGAGACTCTTTCGTGCGAGAGATAGAGGAATGCGAGGCATGAGTTATCTCCCTTTGCATAGTCTAGCAAATGATGGAAGTAGTTTACGAACCAACTGAGTGAGTGAGTGAGTTTAGATTTACGCCGCACTCAGCAATAGTCCAGCTATATGGCGGCAGTCTGTAAATAATCTAGCTAAGATGCAAAGCGTTCACTAACATGAGCGTTCATGTTAGTGAACGCTATGTATCTTAGCTATAAATAATCGAGTCTGGACCAGACAATCCAGTGATCAACAGCATGAGCATCGATCTGCGCAGTTGGGAACCGATGACATGTGTCAACCAAGTCAGCGAGCCTGACCACCCGATCCCGTTAGTGGCCTCTTACGACAAGCATGGGTTATTGAAGTTCAATATTCTAACCCGGACCTTCATCGGTATTTTTCCAACCAAGTGTTAACGTGGAGAGAAAAAACTAGAGCAAAATATTAGGGTAGTGAGCACCTTGGTTTCAGGTGCAAGTGCGTGTGAACACGCTGGGTATCAGGCATAATATAATAATAATATATGCATA